CGAGTGTGCAGTGCATGAGCAGTATGTGTGCAGTGTGTGTGTGTCAGTGTGCAGTACAAACAGGGGTTGTGCATGCAGCTCGTGCCGCGTCTGTAGGTGTGCAGTGGTTGGGCACAGGGTGGGTGTGCCTGCGGAGCACGTGCGTTGTGTCTACGTGTGCACCGAGGTGCGGACGTGCGGTGCTTGTGCAGCAAGGCTCCGCCCTCTCCCTGCCGCCCCATCCCCATCCCCAGTTCCCCTGCCGGGGGGCCCAGCAGCAGTGTCGGAGCAGCAGAGCGTTAAAATCCTGGCTAGGAAATGCCCCCGCTGCTCCTGGGGAGGGGCGCTGTCCCCCTGGCAACAGCTGGGTGCCCCCTAGTGGCCCGTTCAGTGAGCTCCGGCTCGGTGCCATCTAGTGGTCAGAAGTTCCACAGGCCCACAACTGCCCCAGTCTGGGGCCGGCTCCGCCCCGAGCCGACCCCGTGACCGCCCCGCCCTGCCCCCGCCCAGCCGTCCGATGCATGCAGGATCCACTCTCAGGGCCTGAGCCGCAGGGCGAGGAGGGGAAGGAGGGCGAGGAGGGGCAGTGGGGCTGGGGGGGGCCCGGGGCCCCGGTCGGTTGCAGCGCATGGCTCTACAGGGGAGAAAAAAAAAAGGGGGGGGGGGGGGATTAAGCCGTGGCCCGGACCCTGGGGGGCAGGGATACCGGGCTGGCTGGGCCGTGATGGCGGGGGAGGGGGATATATTTGGTTTGTCCTGCCTCAGTTTCCCTCTGTGAGCTCCCCTCCCACTTCCCCCATCCAGTTACCCCTCCCCCTCCCCCCATGAGGCAAAGATCCCCCCCATGATGCCCCACACCCCCTTCCCGGATTTGGGGCCCCCCCGTCTCTCCCCCCCCCCCCCGGTAGGGCAGGGCCCCCCCCCCCCAGGCGTCTCACCAGTGATGTTGAGAAGCTTGGGCAGGAAGCGGTTCCAGAAGGCGCAGACCTGGGCCCGGAGCCCCTGCCCCACAGCCAGGGGGCGCGGGTTCAGCTGTACGTACTGCTGCTGCCGCGGGGTGTAGGGGGGCCAGCGCACCCCCCGCTCCGATACCTCATTGGGGTCCCTGCCCAGGAGGGAGAGAGGGGTCATGCCGTGCTGGCCAGGGTCCCCCAAACCCACCCGCCCGGCCCCCCAGTGTGGGGACCTCCCTCCACTGACTCACCCCTGGGGACCCCCAAACCCACCCAACTACCTCCCAGTCTCGGGACGCCCCAGAGACCTCCAAGCCAACCCACCTGTCCCCCAATATGGGGACTCCCCTAACCCACCCATCTTCCCCCTCAGTGTGGGGACCCCCCCTCCAGGGACCAACCCCACCCACCTGCCCCCTTGAGTGTGGGGACCCCTCTCCACAGACCCCCACCCCACGGGCCTCCCCAGACCCCCCCCAGCTTGAGGCCCTGCCCCCCGGATCTCCCCCCGGTACCCAGTGCGGGCGAAGTTAGCCCAGTAGCGCATCATGCGGCGGCTGAGCGCGGCCTCCTCGGCCGTGTAGTTGAGGCTGGGGTCGAGGGGCAGGCCGAAGACGAACTCGATCTCGTAGCCGTGGGGCACCCCCATCCAGGGGGGCCAGAGCATGTTGGAGGCGCGGTGGTCGAAGAAGTAGGTGTAGACCCGGGCGCCCCGCTCAGCCAGCCGCAGGGCGAAGTGGGTGACGGGGCAGATGACGTTGTGGTCCCCCACGATGTCGTCCATGGCCTCCCGGTTCTTCACCGGGTTGTCCTGGTCCAGCCAGTCGGTGTATTGCAGCACCACGGCTTCGGCCGCCAGCTCGTTGGCCTGGGGCACCCCCATGCGCACCCCGCCCAGGAAGTCCTCCCGGCTGATCAGGCTCTCGTTGTCCTTGCTGAAGCCGGGCGCCCCGTAGATCAGGAAGTAGGTGCCCTCGTCCCGCACCACCCCCACCAGCGCCTGGGTCTCCTTGAAGCCGCCGGCGCCCGGCGTGGCCTCGGGCACCTCGCCGGAGAAGTCCCCGTCGGACACCGGCACGAAGGAGAAGCGGAAGACACTCTGGTGGGGCAGCACCTGCCACTCTTGGTCGATCAGCTCCTGTGGGGTCTTGTCCCGCAAGCAGGCTACCAGCTCCGAGTCGTTGCCCGACGGGCAGCCCACCAGCTTGGCCAGCTGGGCGGCCCGGCGCCGGCCCTCGGCCGGGGGCACGGTGGCCCAGGGGGCGTTGGGCACCCCGCTCTGCAGGATGGCGCGGCGGAAGAGCGGGCGGCTGCCGGGCGAGAGCAGGTGCATGCCCACCGAGGCGGCCCCGGCGCTCTCCCCGAAGATGGTCACCGCCTTGGGGTTGCCCCCGAAGAAATGGATGTTGCTCTGTACCCACTGCAGGGCCAGCCGCTGGTCCAGTAGCCCCACGTTGCCCGGCGCCTCCTGGCTGCCCGAGAGGGCCAGGAAGCCGAAGGCCCCCACCCGGTAGTTCATGGAGACCACCACCACCTGCTCGGCGTAGGCCAGGTAGCGCCCGTCGTAGACGTCCAGCGAGGCGGAGCCGCTGTAGAAGCCGCCGCCGTAGATCCAGACCAGCACGGTGGCGTTTTTGGGGCGCGGGGAGGGCACCCAGAGGTTGAGGTACAGGCAGTCCTCGCTCATCTCCTGGTTGGGGTTCCACATCTCCGTGCCGGGGAAGCCGGGGTAGAGGGTGTCGACGTACTGGTAGCAGGCGTGGCGGTAGGCGCCGGCGTCCAGCAGCCCGCTCCAGGCTCGCTTGGGCTCCGGCCGGCGGAACCGCAGCCTGCCCACGGGCGGCTCGGCGTACGGGATGCCCAGGAAGGCGGAGACCTGGCCCGAGAGGACGGGCACCCGCAGGCCCCGCACCCGCCCCGCCCGGGTGCTGGCCAGCAACTCGTCAGCCCGGGCGGAGAGGGCCAGGGCGGCGCAGAGCAGGAGAGCGGGGCTGGGCAGGGCTCCGGCCATGGCGTGTCTGCGGGGGAGGGGAGAGACAGGGTTAGGGGGCAGCAGGAGACGTCCCCCACCCCCGAGCTCCCCAGGCAGCAACAGCCCCCCACCCCTGGGGCCGCGGCAGGATCCCATCCCCCAGCTGCCTGCCCTGATAAGGGAACCACGGGGGCCTATTCCCGCCCAGCAGCCCCAGACGCCTTATCAGCAGCATGCAGAGACTGGGGCACCGGAAAGGGAGTGGGGGCTGGTGGGTTAGAGCAGGGGGGCTGGGAGCCAGGACTCCTGGGTTCTCTCC